CCAAACTCTGATTGCTCTGACAATATTTCTGTGTAAGACTTGTGTATGTACTACATTGAAATGTATTAAGTTCATTTTCCTGTCCTGAATCCCAAGGAGTTTTGCACTTTTCCAAAATGCGTACACGGAATTGCACCCCAACATTAAAATGAGCATTCACTCTTAATTGAAAAGCCATGTCTCTCCAAATTCATCTCTATTTGCCTCCGTCATTAAATGAGTAGTGTCATTTATTCAAATATTGTTCATATTTCAGATATTAGGATGGGAAATCAGAAACCCTGAGCTGCCAGCTGTCCGTGCTGCCTCGTCTCTGTGGAACAGCCTGAGCAGTACAATACATATAATGTGTATCATAAGGTTTGGGGCTTTTTTTAATCTGATGGTAGTTCCTGTTCTCCAGATGCACTTGGCCTCCCTTCTGGGTCTTTATATATGGAAATATTATATATGTAGACAAGTAACATGTCTACAGCACACTCAGCTGCTTGACTCAGCCTGGCTTCCAGCTGGCCAAATTCCAGAGAAATTGGAAATTTTGGAGACATTGGAACTTCATGTAAATGCAATGGACATGGGTATTAAGGTGAATGGCTGCTTCTGTATCAAATCTCAGTTCCTCATTCCCACCCTGAGCAGCATCCTGCCTCAGCCACCAAATGTCCCTGTGTCCATGTGTGTGCAACAGTCATCTGTCCAGGCTGGACAGATGTTTACCTGGGTTCCCTGTGGCAGTCATGTAGCTGCTCCTGATGCTGTGCCTCTCTCTGGCATGAATTACAGTCCTTGTTAGGACTGCAATTCCCACAAGCAATCCAACTCTGAGCATCAGAAGTTGAAACACACATCCTGCTGTTGCAATTTTCCTCATGTTTCCTGAGCCCTGAAGAACCCAGTGACGTTTTGTATCTTTTAGACTTGTTCCTATTCCTGCATTTCCACATTGTTCCTAATGTTCTTACAAAGACGGACAAACTATGACCTTGGCTGATGAATAAATCATCTCCTTGTGCCCATCCAGAGAAAGCCTCAGAGCATGGCAAGCCTTAAGGGCATATTTGTACCCTGCAGTGTGGTTAAAAGTATCTAAGTTGATTTCAAGTAATCTGGTGTGTTTGTGCAGTGTTCCTGGCATGGTACTGGGCCAGGACCTAGGTGGCTTTGAAAAGAGTTGGCTCTGAGAGGCATCACTGGTGGTGTAGGTGCATGTTCTGTCCACTCAAGGTAGCTTACATGTCCCTGTGTGAGGCCACACCACTGGGTATGTTGCCTTTGTCACACATGACATGGGCACAAAGCTCAGTGTTGACTACTCATTACCCCAGCTCTTACTGAGACGGTGAGGCTACTACCTCTGGGGTTTTTCTGAAGCATTTAGAGATGCAAACAAGAGCATAATCTTCCAAATTTTTTCAACAGCTCTGAAACTGCAGCTCCATAATCTTCGTCAAATGTCGTTGCTTACACTCAGGTGACAAGAGAGTTAGTCTACCTGGCCAGGTTTCCTTAAAGTGTTTGAGGAGGGGCTATGCAATCTGAATTGTCAGTGAAGCATTTAAGTTTGTATCATTCAGTGGTTTGTCCAAGTTATAAAAGCTTAGATTGATTCCCTCACAGCTGGGCTGATTCTCAACATAGGTGAAGGTTTCAGATCTGAGAGTTTATTACCACTAAAAAAGGAGCCATCTCACCCTTCCTTACAACTTTATCACGTAGTGTTAACAGCAGCACTTGTTGGACTCTGATACCACAGTTTAATCCAATGAAAAAAAACCCACCAAAAACTCCATCCCACCCCATGTCCAAAACTTCCACCCTAACCTGGAGATTCTTTGGCTGCTAGTCATCTGAACGACCACAGAAGCTTTTCAGCATCACAGGGGGTTGAAAGAGAGGTGCAGGGCTGCCCAGCAAGAGGATGAGAAAGAGAAAGGTAGATAAAGACAAGTGAAAGGGCCTGGGATCTCTGCTTCCCAGAGCAGTGAGATTTGAAAGACAGAGTTGAAGTGCTTTCCCATGGAATCAGTTACCCAAGCTTCTGATGATGTGCCTTGCAGAAGTAGTTCACATTTCAATGCTTCATTTCCCTGTATTTTTAATATATTTTGTTCCTGTCCCTGGCTTTCTTTTTGGCTTTTTTTTTACATTTCTAGGAAGAAATCCTTTCCTGTGAGGTTGGTGAGGCCTTGGCACAAGGTGCCCAGAGAAGCTGCGGCTGCTCCGTCCCACTTCTAGGTGTTCCAGGCCAGGATGGACAGAGCTTGGAGCTACCTGGGATAGTGGAAGGTGTCCCTGCCCATGGCAGGGGGTGGGATGTGATGGACTTGAAGGTTCTTTCCAACCCAAACCATTCCATGATTCTGTGATTTCAGCGGGAGGAAAGAGCAGGCAGAGAAAGTCAGTGAAAAGCAAATTCTAAGAATGTACTTCTCTCTGCCAGGGAGGAAGGCAGCTCACAGTAGTGCCTATAGTTGGCCGTTAGTTACATACTGCATGTACAGGAGTCTTTAGTATATGGACAAGCAAATTCCCAAAGAGTTTACAGTTTTTCTGTTGAACTGTGAGATAAATAGCTTGCCTCTCAAATATGTGTGTCTGTATGCGTATAAATACATTGTTTTATATGAGCCAGATTGTGGCCTCTTTCACATTGCTATTGGTAGAACAGCTTTTCTATATTGTTCTACAAATGGTATCCAAAATACTTCATGGTAACTCAGTATTGAGGAAGGCTTTTTTTCCTTCATAAAGTTATTTTTAGAGATGTGTATGCATATGCTTACACCGCCCCCCCCTCCCCCCTGCATGTCTGTGATTTATCTACAGACAGATGAGGATTGCCATAGGTACTACTAAAATAATGTGTGATTTCTTAACTAAAATAATGTATGATTTTTTATTACAGAAATACAAAACCAGGATGCAAAATCAGGCTCATACTGACCGTGTGTACATACATGGAAACAAAATTGTCATAAAAATAAATGCTGTATTTGCTACTGAGTTTGTCATTACACACCTGTATACCGGGGATTTTCCTTTCAATGCTTTATCAAGATTCAGAATTGGCCTTTGCTTGCTATTTGCTTCCAGATTCAATAGGGAATGGATGCTTTACTCCTATACAGATCAAGTCCCTGGGCTTGAAAAGCCTCCTCTTTAAATTATAATTTTTAACAGTAGTTGTCAGATAATTCTTCTGAGCACTTGATCATGCTGTAATTATTACTTGGAAATTTTCACATTTTCTGTCACATTATCCTTCTATTTGACATCAGAAACTGCTACCCAGATTGTTCTGCCATGAAAGTAATACCTCTCACCTTTAGGTACCACACACTTCCTGACCTGCACACAGCAAAAAATACAAGCTTGTGTGTTAAAAATGCTGTAGGAGCCAAATTCATTGTGCAGGAACTCGTTCCAGTGTTGAGTACATAGCATGTATTCTTACTATTTGTGAATGGTACACATGTTCTTCAAGTTAGAATATGGCTTATCAGTATTAGCTGGGGAAGTGATTCCAGAGATGAAGCTGCAAAAACACACAAGGAACTTCTCCCACAGTCTGATCCTTTTTGTAACCATTTGTTGTTATAAATGTTATTTCAGTTAAAAAAGTATTGAAAGGGTAAGGACTTTAAAACATTTGAGAAATTTTCCATCTGTGATTTATGCAGGCTCAGTATTAGCAAATGTACAAAAAATATTTCTGCATAATTTTGTTGAAAAATATGATCTGGAATGGGTCCACATTATAGCATTTTTAAAAGAAATTCCTCTAATATTTCTTTGGTTTCTCTCTAGAGGGATCTGAGAAACTCCAAGGACCAATTTCTCTTTCTCCACATTTCAAACCATGAAAAAAATCTGGGTTGAAATCATGTGTGTTACAGATGCTGCCAACCATCCTTCAGAGGTGCCAGAGCTGTTTATGAGCATCCTTGAAATCTTGGGAGAATCCTGTGGTCAGTCTAGGCATGAACTTTACAACCATTTGTTCTGTTAAACTCCATGCCTTGAAGGGTGCAGCAGAAGCACTGATCGCCCTTTGAATGGCTGCTCACAGCCCAGCTGCTGGCAGTGGAGGGGGTTTAGGGGAAAAGCCTCTTGGCACCAGGGTAATTGTGGTCCCAGCCACGGTGTCTGCAGATATTTTGGACAGGTCCCTTCTAACCCAAGCCTTTCGTTGATCCTGTTCCAGCACAGTTCTGCTCTGGGAGAGCAGTGTTGCACCATTGATGCTATGAATGTGGTTCGTAAGGTTTATTATTTATAAATCAGTTCTGTAATCCTCATGTTATCCAATAATTTTCCTTAGCTCAGTGTAAGCTATTTGCATTTTTCAGATCCTACAGTCTGTGAAAGTGCAAAATGAAAAATACATCATGGGTAATGATTAGTCACCAAGTTGTATATTAATTGTATTTTTTTCACCAAGAATAATTATACATTTTAAGACCTCTCTCAATTTTACATGTTTTTACCACAACTATTTCTGTCTTTTCTACTCCTGACATTTTCAACAAAAACAAACAGAAAGGAGGAAAAACTCATGTCGTTCATTGCAATACCTTTTTGAGTTTGGGTTTGGTTTTTTGTAGTTTTAGGGTATGCAGAGCAACTGTGGTTGGTGTTATACTGAGGAGGAAGGGATATCTTATGGCAGGAGCCCCAGAAGGAGAAGTGAGCCCAAGATGTTTCCAAACTTTAGGCTTACACTTCTTAAATCATTTTTTCAAAGCAGATCGATTCCTGGGCTATATAAACCAGGCAGCACCATGCAGATTGCTGGTTTTGAGGAGGGAGAAGGAATTTAGTTAATCACTGATGGACATCATGTTTCTTAATTTCTGAAATTAATTTATTTGGGAATGAATGTGAAGAGGTGTTTAGACTAAGACAGATAACATGATTTCAGAGTTAGGCCACTGAACTCCTGGGGGACCAGGTGCACCCTATCAATCGTGTCTGCAGAGAAGATAAGAGGCTCCACTTACGTTTGACAGTGCTGCGTGACTCCTGGAACCCAGCCGACTCTGAACCCCAGCCCAGGGCTTCACATTCTTGCTCCTCCCCTTGCCCGTGCCTGGCACTGATGCTTGCACCCCCTCTGCTCCACTCTGCCAGCCAGCACATCCTCCAGAGCCCCACACTACGCTTGCGCCCATCCTCCAGCGTTTGGTACACCCAGTTGGGGCTAAAGGCAGCCGCGTTGTTAAGGATGAGTGAGACCAGGGCTACCAACACAGCTGTGGCTACCAGTTTCTGGATAGTCATATCTGACTGTCAGCTTGCCGCCAGTCTCTAATTGCAGACGACACGAGGTCCCAGTCAGCTGCAGCACATTGAACCTGGGCTAGGAACAGTCGGCTGTGCTAGGGTGTTATGGGTCGCTAGAGGACATCACCGTTCATTCTTGAAGTCAACTCCAGGGGGATTTCTGACCAAGGAAATGAGAATTTTGTGAGGTAGATAGGAGAATTCCATAAAATAAGAACACAAAGAAGCTTTGTTAGGTCTTTCCCAGCGCTGGCTTATCCACCTTCTTGGACTTTGATAAGTAATGCCAGTCCCGTGGTGAACTGGATGACAGGGAGGTCCATTCCGTGTTGGATGGGGTGAATCCAGACAGAATCCAGTCTCAGGGCAGGAGAGCCTGAGCTGAGGTGGGACAGAGATGGGATGGGATGCTCACTGTAGCTTGCGGAGCGCCGGGTCCTCCAAGACAACTGGTGCTGCTCCAAAAGCCTGGGTTTGGGTGCAAACTTCAGAATATCCTGCAAACGGTGACAGATGTCATTCTCTCAAAGCCAAGCTGAGCCAGAGGGGAATGCGATCATCCCAAAGGTGATCTGCAAGTTTGGGGTATCCCGAGGAGGTTGCTCTGTCCTGTCCCTCTCCGAAGAGCCGAGCTGTAAGTCCCGGGACGAGAACAACCACTGCAGTGAGGAAAAGGCCCCCCCCCACCTCCCCACCAAGAGGAAATGGCTGTTTTCGTGGCTCGTTTTGGTGAGCCTCAGGGCGTAGTCGACTGCAAAAAAAGAGCCACTGCCACGGCAGTCAAATATTAACAGGATGTGTTTCCTGAAAGGAAAAGACTGTGGAGACTTCTAAAGTTGTCCCTCCTCCCCTCGGAGAGCCCCCTCCCTGCTTCACGCCTCCTCCCCTCGCCGCTGCCCCCGGCAGGTCTGCCGGGACCCGCAGCGTCTCGGAGAGCCCGGGGAGCACAGCGGAGCTCCTCAGGAAAGGAAGAGAAGGAAATCCCAGCTTCAGCCTTCGGGGCATCACCTCTGTGGAAGCGGATCGAGGAGAGGGATTTTGAAATACTTTTTGCTAGAAGCAAAACAATATTGGGGTTTGCTGCTGGACAGTGCGGCGAAAGTGCTGCGGGGGGTGCCCTGATGCCCCCGTCCTCTCTGCACCATAGTAGGGATCGTGGCAAATAAATAGGAAGTATAAAATCTCGAGATTCTCAACCCGATAACAACCCAGTTTGGGTGTATCTGTAAAGGCAGGGGCAAGTGTTGGGGTGTGGGTGAGGTTGAGAGGCACAGCCCATGCCCGAGTCCTGGCGTGAGGCTGCCCTGCCCGTTCGGTGCCCAGGGTGTGGAAACTCTGCTGCCGTGTGCTTCACGGGATGTCCCTGCTGACAGCCCAGCACGGAATGGACCGCATAGAGCACGGCAGGTGCTTCTCTGATAAACTCTTTAAGAGAGTTTTTGAGGGCACTCCAAACTGTCCTTGAAGCTGGATGTTTCCAGAGCAGTCGTGCCCAGACTGGCACTCCAAGCGGCTCTTTGCTGTTGCCATCAACTGCCTCAGCAGCACGGGGACGACGACAGGGATTCTGGTGGGTACTGCCCTGCGGTGCTGCCTGGGGTTATGTCCCCCCTGAGCTGAGCCTGGCACAGTTCTTCAGGCTGCACTAACAGCGCACGAGTGTAGCATTGCCTTCTACACACTGAACTGAAGGCACAGCATCCGGTCAGCACTGAGACCTGGCACAGACCTGCCTCGCCACAGACTGCCATACCTGAGGGGCTGGCACAGGAGTTCACATCCCTGTAATCAATAAATTAGATTAGAAAGTTATTTAATTTTATTTTATATTTTATTTTTACATAATTTTGCCAGGCAAGAGGCTTTGCCCCTAACCATCCAATTTGCCCTGACCCAATACACAGAAAAAAACTGGTCTGAAATTTTTTGCAAGGCAACATTTTATTTTCAAGGCTTGTTTCTGTGAGAATGGAGGGGAGGGAGCGGGGAATAAAGCTGATGTGCTCCTTTAATTGTTTTTCAGCTCCTGAAGTTGAATGTACTAACCTGGCTATGAACTCAACCCTCCTCCATGTGCTTTGATAATTTTCAATCATTAAACAAATTAAGCTTTAAGTACTTTGAGCATCTTTATCTCTTGAAAGCATCTTTGGGTTTTCTTTTTCCCTGTGATTGGTCACATTTCTTTACATTTCTGGTTTTAGAACTTCCAGTATAAATACACCAGTGTCTACCATTCTTCAAAGAAATTTCCTACCAGTAATGACCATCTTTGCATATTTTAAACCCCTTGGATTATTTGTTATTATGATTCTGTGTTTGTTATAAACCAGGGATTCAGCAGCAAGGCAAATGATGTTTATATGCAGATAACGCCAGGAGAGATGTACCTTTAGGGAAATGTCACACACCTGCTTCTGCCTCCCCCTGTTTGATTTTTGTGATTTGATGAAGTCTGAGTATGTATTTTCAGCAGGGCCCAAGCTTCCTTCTCATGTAACATTAGAAACAATAGCAATTATATTTTACAAAGGCTGAACAAATCAGTCTAGTCATGAAATCATAAACGTTGGAAAAGATCAAGTCCAGCCATTGCCCTAGCCACAGACCCATGTCCCCAAGTGCTACATCCACACAGCTTTTAAATCCTTCCAGGGACGGTGACTCCACCACTGCCCTGGGCAGCTGTGCCAGTGCCTGACTACCCTTTCCATGAGGAAATTTTCCCTAATATCCAATTTAAACAGTATGGGAATCCTGATCCTTAATAACAAACTACCTTAGTGAATGTTTCTTTGCTGACAAACAGGCAACAGGATGTGCATTTTACAGCACTCACTGAATTCTGTGGGGCATAGGGGTTTGTGTCATATAGCTCAAATGGAGCCATCTCTTGGTGTTGATTTTACGAAGGGCAAGTTTGGAACAAAGCTATGTATTCAATGGGATATTATAGATAGATTTCGTGCTGCTTTATCAAATTATCTGTTTCTGCCAGGGAAGAGTTTTTAGGAGTAGCCTCATCAGCTTTCAGTGTTTGGGTCATACATGAAAAATGCCTGACTTTTCTTAGAGTAGCCCATATACTATCATTAACACTATCAAGAGTCTCATTGAACTATTACAACTTTTCATCTGTTACTTAGTTCCTTGTTGTCTTTTAGTCCCACGGAAAGATATAACCAGAATCCCATAAATGCATTTTAAAAGCATCAAACCTAATTTTGCTACATCAGATAAAACCTCATTTTCTCAAGTCCTTAGAGTTTTCCAGTCTAGTGGAAGGTGTCCCTGCCCATGGCAGGGGTTTGGAACAAGATGGTTTTTAGTGTCCCTTCCTACCCAAACTATTCTGTGGTTCTGTGATTATCTGTAATACAACATTATAGGATGCAACATTAATTTGTTATACCTAATGTGTATATTATAGGGTCCAGTTCAACAAAATGGGGCCCAAATTGAAAAGAGATTTTTTTTTACCCTGATCCTGATCAATGTTCATTTTCCAAATACAGCCCATTAAATAGAGGGAGAAAAGGTTTTTCAGTGAGATGCTTCAGACATAAATCTCCACCACTTCTAAATAATATTTCATTTTTAATCTTCAAACTTTCATGGTAAATATGCAAGGAAAAATATATGGGAACAGAAGGGTTTGTGAGATCAGACTGTGGATGCTGTAAACACAGTTCCACAGGAAGAAAAGAGAGTGAAAGGTCAGATACAAAGCAAAGAAAGTTTCATCAAATATGTGGTAAAATTTGTGTCCACTCTTAAGAGGCATCAGCATTTGCTTCCCAAATCCCTGGCACTGTGGATGTGTCCTGGAGCCTGGGAGCGCAGGGTGCAGCAGAGGATGGTGTATCCCTGTGCCTGGTGGGGGGCTTGGGGCTCCCAGGCTGCTTGGGCTCTCTTCCTATGGCTCTGCTCCCACTGCTGCTGTGCCTGGGCTGCATTAAGTTTCCAGCTTTGGCTGATGAAGTACAGATGTGAGAGGCTTTCCAGAGGGGATGAGAAGAGGAGGAGGAGGAGAAGAACAGGAAATTACCAGAATCAGAGTTGGGGGCAGGGGAAAGTATTACTTGGCATTTTATATGGACAGCAGGGCCAGGTCTGGGAAGGAGAGTTGCTGCCTTTTAGGGATGCATGGACAGATTCAGCTTTCTCACTACACTGGCAGCTGTTGGGAGATAAACTGTGGTTTTCCCTGGGATTTAAATGAACTTGTTATGCACCTCCTGTTTCTTGTTCCTTCACCAGACCCACATCCATCTGTCCACATTTCTGAGAGGCAGCAAAACTTACCCTGGTGCTGGAGGTGTGTGCCTGCCAGGGAGGTTGTACATCTCGTTGGTCTTTGTGAAACACAGAGAGAAATGGAAGTGGATTGTGGGTGCTCCCAGGATCCCCTCCCCTTCCCTACCCTTTCCTCTCCATGTACCTTATCAGAGCACTGTCCCCTTTGTGAGGGATGTGTCTACTGGGAAGAACCAGTCTCTGCTGCAGCTCCATGGGGACTATGGCTATTGCTCTGCCTTGTGCAACTGCTCCCATTAGGAACTGCTCTGGACAGAGCAAGCCTGGGTTCCTTAGGTGAAACACTCCTTCAGGTGTTTCTGCAGGGCAGAAGCAGGAGAAGGGATAGTCAGAGGGAGTCAACGGTTTCACCTGCCATGGGTTCTTGTGCTGGTGAGCTGCTCTGATCATGTTTCTCAGAATCTTGGAATCATGGAATGGTTTGGGTTGGTAAAGACCTTAAGGACCATCTAGTACGAACTCTCTGCCATGGTAGGGACACTTTTCTTTGGTGTCCCTCTTATCTCTTGCTGTGGTCTCTGTGCTGAGTGAGTCCATGCAAGCTGTGCTCTGCTGTGAACACTCCCAAATTCAGTGCCTTTGGTGCAGTTTGAGCCTGGTGTGCTCACCCCCTGCCCAGCTAGGGTGGCAGAAGGCAGTGTCTGCCAGAATAAAACGAGCTGCAGAGCACATCAACTGCAGATGTTTCCCCCTTTGCGTTTGTTGCTGCCCCCAGCGTAGCCATGGCTCAAGCCTCTCAGGTTCATTTTGCAAATGGTTTGGAGTGGAGGAGAAAGAGGTGGCATGGCAGAACTCTGGCTCCTCAGGGCAGAGGGACTTGGGTGTCCCCGTGGCCCACAGGCCGGTGTGTGGAGGGCAAGAGCTCCCAAAGAGAAGTCCTAGGGGCAGCAGCTCCCACTGAATTTTGATATTGGCAAGAGTTGTTGCCATCCAGGAAAGCATAACACAGATGAGAGATGATGAGCAACATCTAAATCCTGCTGTGACTCTCTGCACGCTGTTATCTTTTAACTTTGTACTTTAAAATACACTGTGCAGTCTGTTTCATCTCAAAAGTTTCCACTCCCTGTAGTCTAAATAAGAAACTCATCTGCTCGCCTGTGTGAGCCCATGAACTCTCATCTTCCTGCATGGAGGGAAAAATAAAGACTTTGATTTCCTTTCAGAAACTCACTGTTAGTCAGCTTGACAAAGCCCAGCACAGACATGCTTTCCTTCACTCAGAGCCAACTGGCTGTTGGCAGCTTCTTCTGGCACACTGCAGAGCTTGGAAAATGAACTTCTCCTCAAGTGTGGTGAAGCACAGCTGTGCCCAGGCACAGCCCTGAGCAGCTTTTCCTAAGGACAGAACTCAACTGTCTGTGTTGGTCAAAGCCAGGTGAACATAATTAACATCATGTTAAACATGTCAATGTTCTTTAAAGGTGTTTTTCCCACTTTTCCCAATTCCAGGTACAGATAGTGTCTGGAATAAGAGAGAAAACTGTTCCAACTTTTCAGAAATTAGGAA